CCCCCCATGGAAAGACTGTCTGTGCTGGGTGAACCCCACTGCACTGGTCCATTGGCGCCCCTTCCATTGTTCTTCAGTTTGAGAAAAGGAAACAACACAGACATTGTTAAAGACAAAAATGAAGGGCACCTGTGTGGTTCAGTCGGTTAAGCGTCTGCCTTCGGCGCAGGTCATGATCCCAGGGTTCTGGGATCGAGCCCCACATCGGGCTCCCTGCTCAGTGGGAAGCCTGCTTCTCCCTCTCCCTCTGCCTGCCTCTTTGCATACTTGTGCTCTATCTCTCTGTCAAATAAATAAAATCTTTAAAAAAAATAATAAAAGGACAAAAATGAAAGGTCATCCCCTCCCTCCCAACTCCAGGCCCCAGGTTGCACACCCCAGGTGCATATCCCTGCCTGCAGCCCAGTGTTCCTTGATTTTTTTTTAAAATTTTTTAAAGATGTATTTATTTATTTTAGAGAGGGGAGAGGGTCAGAAAGAGAGGGAAAGAGAGAATCTCCAGCAGACTCCCCCTGAGTTTGGAGCCCGACATGGGATTTGATCACAGGACCCTGAGATCATGACCTGAGCTAAAACCAAGAGTCAGATGCTCACCGACTGAGCCACCCAGGCATCCCTCCTTGGTTTTTTTTTAATTGAAGTATAGTTGATATACAATGGGACTTTAGTTTCAGATGTACAAAATAGTGATTCCGTAAGTCTACGTGTATGCTCACAAGCGTAGCTCCCATCTGTCACCATACAATGCATTACAGTGCCATTGGTGATAGTCCTTATGCCGTACCTTTTATCCCCATGACTTACTCATTCCATAACTGGAAATCTGTATCTCCCACCCCCCTTCACTCATTTTGCCCACCCCACCCCCAGCAACCGTCAGTTTGTTTCCTGTATTTATGGGTCTATTTCTGCCTTTTCTTTGTTTTTTTGATTCCACACATAAGTAAAATCATATGGTATTTCTTTCTCTAAGTTTATTTCACTTAGCATAATACCCTCTAGATCCATCCATGTTGTCACCAATGGCAAGATTTCATTCTTTTCTATGGCTGACTAATATTCTGTTGTATATATATACCACGTCTTTTTTATCTATTCATCTATCAATGGACACTTGGGTTGCTTCCATATCTTGGCCATTGTCAATAATGCTACCATAAAGATAGGGATGCATGTGTCTTTTTGAATTAGTGTTTTTTTTTCTTTGGGTAAATATCCAGTAGTGGGTATTTGGATCATATGGTACTGGATCATATGGTAATCCTATTTTTAATTTTTTAGGAACCTCCATACTGTTTTCCACAACGGCTACACCAATTTACCTTCCCACCAACAGTGCACCAGAGTCCCCTTTCCTCCACATCCTCACCAACATTTGTTATTTCTTGTGTTTTTGAGTCTTGTGTTTTGAGTTTTTGAGCCATTCTGACAGGTGTGAGGTAATAGCTCATTGTGGTTTTGATTTGCATTTCCCTAATGATCAGTGATGTGGAGCACCATTTCATGTGTCTGTTGGTCATCTGTATTTTTTCTTTGGAGAAATGTCTGTTCAAGTCCTCCATACATTTTTAAAATCAGGTTTTTGGTTTTTTTGGTGTTGAGTTGTGTAAGTTATTCAAATACTTTGAATATTAATCCTTTATTGGATAGATTATTTGCAACTATCTTCTCCCATTCAGTAGGTTGCCTTTTTTTGTTTTGTTGATGGTTTCTTTCTGAATCCTTCCTTTTATCTGCATGGAGGCCATGCTTCCCACAGGTACTCCCAGCCAAGGACTGAATGAACAGTCATGCTGCCCTCCCTACCTTGGCTCACTCTGTTCTGCCCACTCTCTCTCAACCTCAGTATCTGTTTGTGTCCCCGCCTCTCACCTCCCCCCTCTGCCCTGCATAGCTTGCCCCTGTCCTTCCCAAGCTATTCCAAAGGCCAGTCCAGTTTTGCATTTTCATTTAACCAAGTTAAATCTGATTTGTGCCTAGATCCTACTTCCTAAATACCATTCTCCAATAAAACAAACTAGGGCTCCTAGAGAAATGGCTGATTCCAGGGCTGGGGCAGGGAAAGTACCAGAAGAGCCTGGAACATCTTGTGTCAGACAGTAAGGAAGCACTCCAGAAATAATGGAGGCAGGTCAAGGAGCACAGAAGCCAACTTAGAGGAGCTCTCAATCACCAAATCTGGTACGATTTGAGTGAAAAATAAGAGTAATGGATTATAACCCACAGAATGAAATAAATATCTAAGAGACCATCCATAAAGATATAAAAATAATGGACTAAGTAAATAAACAGGGGAAAGAGACAGTTCCTTTTTACAGTAGAATTCCCATTTAATGTAAAAAGAATAGTGGAAATAGAAAAATCACTATTTGATAAAAACCACAGTAATAAGTGTTGCAAACAAGAATCATCAAGGGATAGTAAAATTAGCAGGAAAAAGTACGAGAGAACAGGATATTTATATAGTCATAAAGCATCTCCCCACAGAATGTTTATTAATTACAAAGGAAAACAGTGACTTTATTGTGGAGAAACGTCAGGGAGATACCACTTTTACCAAGTGATCAAAATTATTATGAGAGTAATTAGACACATCAGGACCACCTGATAAGGGTATCCAGAGAAGGACACATCACTTCTGTGGTATTCTTGCCAAAAATGGGTAACTTCAATCTAGGAAGGAGAGAACAGGGAGATCCGTCCTACAACATAACTGGCCAAAGGGCTGAGGTGGCAAGGGGAGACTGAGGAACTCTCCCAGGTGGGGGTTGAAGGGAACAGGACAACGAAATGCCACGTGGGATTCCAAATGGGATCCTGGGCCAGAAACAGGATGCTGGTGGGACATCTGGCAAAATCCAAATAAGGCTAGTAGATGAGTGAACAGTGTTATATCATTGTGAATCGCCTGGCTTTGGTCCTTCTGTGGTTAACATTAGGGGCATCTGAGCGGAGCGTGCTATCCTGGCAGCTTTTTTGTAAGCCTAAATTTTCAAAATAAAAAGACTGCATGCTGGTAGGCAGTCTACAGGATGGCAACCAACTTCCTTTTTTCCCCCTTTTTTCTTTTTTAAAGGTTTCATTTATTTATCTGACAGAGAGAGAGAGCAGAAGCAGGGGGAGTGACAGGCAGAGGGAGAGGCAGGCTCCTTGCTGAGCAGGGAGCCTCATGTGGGGCTCGATCCCAAGACCCTAGGTTCATGACCTGTGCCAAAGACAGACGCTTAACCGCTTAACCAACTGAGCCACCCAGGTGCCCCTGGATGGCAACTAACTTTCAACTGGACTTCTGACATATCAGTTGTCAGCACTGCTCACTGCTGGGAATGTTAAGCATTCTGAGGCTTCATTCACTCCCAGGGGCAGATGCAGGGGGTGGTTGAAGAGGTCTGTGGGGAGGGGGTGGGGAGAAAGGAGTGGGAGGAAGGTAGAGTACATGAACTTGTTGCTGGGCGCAGGACGGTTGCATGTGTTCCTGACACCTTTCTGTAGGTTCCAAATGTTTTTAAATACCAAATGTAAAGTAATATGTATGTGACAGAATTCAAACAGCACTTACTTAAGCAGAGTGAAGACTAAGTCCTCTTCCTATCCCCAATTCCTCCCGTCCTCCCCCACTCCAGGTAATCAAGGTTACCAGGATTCAATACACATGGGGTAGAAACAAACAGGTATGCGGATTTATTCCTCATGGAGGTTGAGGGCTCTGTCTTAGGTCAAGGGCGGCAAGGAGAGACATGAAGACTGAGAGCCAGGAAGCCTCTGCCGACAGGTGAAGGAGGCCCTCTGCTGCTGCTGTGCTTTGTACTGTAAAAGAGAAAAGACAGATATGTCTGAATACCATCAAACGCATTTTTCGTATTGCTGGTTGCAACCCGTTAGTAGTTCATAAAGTCAATTTCGTGTTTCATGATCATCATTTTTAAAAAACAGAAAAGGAACACTGGCAAGAGTACATCACCTGTAATAGGGGTAGATAGTTTTGTGAAACTTTGCTACAATGTAAAATGTATTTCTAACTGAGGGTTGAGGTTTAAAAAAAAAAAAAAAACAAAGTCTCGGGGCGCCTGGGTGGCTCAGTCATGAAGCGTCTGCCTACAGCTCAGGTCATGATCCCGGGGTCCTGGGATCGAGCCCCGCGTCAGGCTCCCTGCTCCATGGGAAGCCTGCTTCTCCCTCTCCCACTCCCCCTGCTTGTGTTCCCTCTCTCACTGTCTCTCTCTCTGTCAAATAAATAAATAAAATCTTTAAAAATAAATAAATAAATAATAAATAATAAATAAATAAATAAATAAATAAAGTCTCAAACACTGCCTTAGGCAATAGCTTGCACAAGGCCAGAACCTGGATCACCAAGACCGTTTGTCCTGGGGTGCAGGTGACAGGGCTTGTCACGTTCCCGGGAGCAACAAGGCAATAAATGTGTAGGCCTGACTTCCTTGAAACTTTGGGTAAGGACTAGCTGGTTAATGGGTAACCAGAAGGAACAACCACTTAGCTGGGAGTACACGGTCCCACGGCCCCGCCCACCACATGGGGAAAGGCTCCCAAAGATGGTGTGGGACAAACCTGGGTCCCCGGGCTGCAGGGAGGAGCTCGCCCACGTGCCCCCACAGAGGGTGGCCTGCGGGGCAGGTAAGGAGGGCTCTCCCGCCAGCTGACAAGCCCTAGGGTAAGGCTGAGCAGGGCTGGGATGGCTCCCCAGCTTGGGACTCCTCCCTCAGACCGAGGCCCAACACCCCCTCCTTAACAGCCAGGGCCTTGAGCAGCCCCTGGAATGTGGGCAGCAAACCTGTAAAGGTACAGGTAGTAAACACTTTAGGCTTTGGGGGCCTCATGGTCTCTCATAATGGCTCAATTCTGCTGTTCTGCAAAGCAGTCATGGACAGACATAACAAATGAGCATTACTGTTCCAATAAAACTCCTCGTAGACGCTGAAATTTGAATTTTATATAATTTTCATTTGTTACAAAATATTAATCTCTGTATTTTTCAACAGTTACAAAATGTGAAAACCATTCTCGGCTCCTGAGCTGAACAAAAACAGAAGACAGGCCAAATTTGGCCCGTAGGCCAAAGGTTTGGAACCCTTACTTTGGACCTTGCCCTTGTTCTCCCCTCCTCTCTTCTCTTCCTCCTCCCCTCCTCCTCTCCCTCCTCCTTCCCTCCTCTTTTCTCCCCCTCCTCCCTCCCTCCTTCCTCCTCCCACCTCCTCCTTCCCTCCCCTCCCCCTCCTCACTTCCTACCCCTGCCCACTACTCCTCCTTTCCTCCTCCCCTCCCCTCCCTCTTTTCTCCTCCCTTCCCTCCCTTCCCCATTCTTCCCTCCCTCCCCTCCCCCTCCTCCTTTCGGCCCCTGCCCACTACTCCTCCTTCCCTCCTCCCTGCCCCTCTCCCCTCCCTTCTCCCCTCCCCTCTTTCCTCCTCCCTGCCCTCCCGTCCCCATTCTCCCCGCCCCCGCCCCGCGTCCCTAACCGGGGCCCAGACGCGGCGGGCCGGCGCGGTCAGGGGGCGCTGACTCACAGGCTGACTCAGCGGGAGGCGCGCTGCCAGCAGACGCCCGCGGGAGGCCGGCGGGGCGCCAGGCGTGCTGGCGGCGGTGTCCGCGGCCGTGCTCGCGACGGGAGCGGACGCCCCGCCGCAGGAGCGGCCCTTCCGGCTTCCGACCTCCGCGGAGCGGGACGGAGGGCCGCCTGGAGGACGCGGGGCACTGGGCGCGAGGGGCGGCCGGAGGGGGACCGGGCTGTGCACCTGCCCCGGGAGACCCCGGTGCCGCGCTCCGCCCGGCACTTCACACGCCCTCTCCCCGGACTCCAAGCACCACCGCCGCCACCCCGCGTCCCGTCCTTCGCCTCCGCGCGCCAGCCCAAGGCCCGCCTCCTCCAGGAAGCCTTCCCAGAAGACCTCCTCCGGGCTGGGTTACCTGGGGGAGCCTCCATCCTGGCACCTTCGGCGTTGCTCTGTGCCGTCCTGTTTTGGGTCTGGCTTCATCACCAGGCTGTGGGCCCCTTGAGGACAGCGGCCAGGCCTTCGTAGGCTCTGCATCCCTTGGCTTAAACAGAGCCCAGGCAGAGGAGGAGGTGGGACATGTATACGCGTGACCAACTTTAGAGATCCAGCCTGGGACACAGCCACGCCAGACCCCCAAAACCCGTAATAATATGTTAAAAATAATTATACACATACATGTGTATATGTTGCTTTAACATAGAAATATGAAAAAGTTTATTTGAAATCATGTTAGAATTATAAATAGCATCAAAATATGAAAAATAGGTGTTTATTGTAAATTATATATTCTGTATTATTTACTTTTGTGTTACACAAATGCTATTACTTAAACAGAACAATAGGATTAGTAACAATGGCAAATAATAATTAGTAGGACTACTTTGTGAGAAAGAAATATAAAAATATGTTTCTAATCTCTGATACAGCAATTTATTTTAACTCATTGGATACTTAAAATTTGTATTGAGATACATACATGTAAAAGGCTACATATGGTATGATTCCATGACATTCTTATATGACATTTAGCAAAATGCAGAAGTATGGAGATGGTTAAAAAAGATCAGTAGTTGCCAGGGGTTGTTGGGGGGAGGCAGGGCTAAACAGATGAAGCACAGACGATTTTAGGGCAGTGGAAATACTCTGTATGATACTATAATGATGAATGGTGTCATTATACATGTGTCCAAACCCACAGAATGTACCACATCAGGAGCAAACCCAAATGTAAGCTATGGGCTTTGGCTGATTATGATGTATTAATGTAGGTTCATCAGTTATAACAAATGTACGCTCTGATGGGGATGTTGATGATGGGGAGTCTGTACATGTGGGGGTGCAGCATTGGGGGGTATATGGGAAATCTCTGTACCGTCCCCTCAATTTTTTGTGAACCTAAAACTGCTCTACACAAATAGTCTTTTTAAAAAAAGATACATGCATGTAAGACTTTTTAAGAGAATGTGAATCCAGTAGGACTAAACATAGTACCAATATTTAATTTAAAAAAATAACAACAACATTTCTGTCCTATGATGCAGAGGAGATTTTTACCTCTCTCTGTTTCCTTGCCCGCAGCTTTTAGGAAACCCTTCTCTGATGTAGTGATCAAACTGAATATCACCAAACAAAATTCTTTGACTTGCAGTCCTGCTCTTAGTAAGCCCACATTACACTAATTCCTACTGTCAGTCCAGTGTGATGGCGAGCTAATGACTCTCTCAACAAAATCGTTTGAGCATGGAATACTTCGGATCTTACTAGCAACAGCAGGTTTTTAGACTTGTAGGGATTAGCTTCCAGCTCTCCAAAAGTGCCCATCCTCTTTGTATCTATAGGCTGATTTTGGTAAAACAGCTTTTGGTCAGCTCCTTTGCATCAATAAATTCAACATCCAAAGTTCCATCTTTTTAAACATTTTGAAGCACACCGGGCGTCATCAGTCAGAGCGCGTGCGCTCTCTCTCATACTTGCATGTGTCTCCGAGAAAATGGCTTTACAGCAAAGAAGTATTTGGACCTGTGATATTAAAGTTGCGTCACAAATAAGTTCCAGTCTTAGTAAAGAAGTGAGAAAGTCCTGTTTAAATTGGCCGTCCCTCTCCTGGAGACATTTTGTTTTATTTCCCCCAAACCGAGTTAACTTTTTACTACATGAGTTTTTGTTACTTCCTGTACAGAACATTGAACAACTCAGGTGCCATCGGGTCATCCTTTTTCAAGATCCTGCTGGCCTTTTCAAAGATCAGCAGTTTTGGAAGAACCATTCATAAATGTCCACCCAGGCGGCCCACGTTTAGCTTTCTAAATGACCATGACGTCTGGTGCGTGCTGGCATTGGTTTTGTAATCATGCTCGTGTTCATAATCTGAACTCAAAAAAAACATGGTCGCAATATTCATCATGTTAAAAATTAAACTAGCACTGTCTAGATACAAAGCACAACAGTGAATCCACAGGCAAAGTGGATGTTCGCCCTCCAGATGCCAGCACTCTTAAGTGATGGGAGCGGGGGTTTAATAATGGCTGATGCATGCCCACGAACTGCCAATCATGGCTGTCACCGTCAGCAGCAGCAGGGACTGGGGCAAGTCCTGGGTCCATTTGGTACTAAAACCAGTGTTGCTTTCAGCCCCTCTTTTGGGGATCACCTTTGTGTTTTGTACCTTTCCCCTAACCTTCTGTACCTGTCAGTGAAAACTGGGAGTTTTCTGATCCGAGGGTAGAGTTTACCAGATGTAGGGCTTTTAGGGCTAAAGTCAGAACAGTCCCAGACAAACTAGGATGGTCGGTCACACCAGCACATGCTTGTGGAATCAAGAAATAAGTCGAAGATAAATACTGTATGATCTCACTTACATGTGGAGCATAAAAATCTATGAGTTCATCATAGATTCAAAAACAGACGAGTAGGGATGCTATGGGTCGTCTGCCTTCGGCTCAGGTCATGATCCCAGGGTCTAGGATCAAGTCCTGCATCGGGCTCCTTGCTCAGTGTGGAGCCTGCTTCTCCCTCTGCCTGCTCCCCCCGCTTGTGTTCTCTCTCTCCATCTCTCTCTGACAAATAAATAAATAAAATCCTTAAAAAAAAACAAAACGGATTAGTGGTTACCAGAGGTGGGGGACGAGAGGGAAGGTGGGTCAAAGGGTACAGACTTCCAGTTATAAATAAGTTCTGGGGATGTAATGTGCAGCATGGTAATTAGAGTTAATCATTCTGTATTGTATTTGTGAAAGTCATGAAGACAGTAGATTTAAAAAATTCTCATCTCGGAATGCCTGGGTGGCTCAGTCGGTTAAGGGTCTGCCTTCGGCTTAGGTCATGATCCCAGGGTCCTGGGATCGAGCCCCACATCGGGCTCCCTGCTCAGCGGGGAGGCTGCTTCTCCCTCTCCCGCTCCCCCTGCTTGTGCTCTCTCTCTCTCTGTCAAATAAATAAAATATTAAAAAAAAATTTCTCAAGAAAAAAATTGTAACTATGTGAGGTGATGGATGTCAACTCTACTTAATGTGGTAATCATTTTGCAATGTATACATATATTAAATCATATTGTATGCCTTTATATCTAATACAATGTTATATGTTAGTTTTATCTCAGTAAAACTGAAAAAAATAAGTCTCAATATAAAACAATCAATGTATTTCTGTATACTAGCAACACAAAATTGTAATTGAAATATGTAAAAATGCCATTTACAATAGCATTAAAAAAACATAAAATAAGTAGGGATAAATTTATCAAAATATGTTCAAGATCTATATACTAAGAACTATCAAACATTGGGGAGACAGGTTAACAAAGACCTAAATGGGAATACCAGGCTAACGGATCAAAAGACCCACCAGGAAGATGTCTCTTCTCTCCAGATTGTTCTATAGAATCAACTCAGTCCCATTCAAAATCCCAGCAAGCTTTTTTTAGGTTTTAAAGAAACTGACAAGCTGAGTCTAAAATGTGTATACAAATGCAAAGGACCGGGGTGCCTGGGTGGCTCAGTCGGTTAAGCATCTGCCTTCCGCTCAGGTCATGGTCCCCAGTCCTGGGATCCAGCCCTCATTGGGCTCCCTGTTTGCCTGGGAGTCTGATTCTCTCTCTCCCTCTGCCACACCGCCCACTCTTGCACTCTCTCTCTCTCAAATAAATAAAATCTTTAAAAAAAAAAACCCTCAATTTTAAAAAACAGGCCAAATATTGAAACAGCCACATCACCAAAGAGGATATATGAATGGCAACTAGGCACATGAAAAGATGACTAACATCATTAGTGACTGGGGAAATGAAATGAGATCCTACCACACACCTATTAGAATGGCCAAAAATAACAAAATAAAAAACTGACCACGCAAGTGCTGGAGCAGATGCAGAACGACTGGAACACTCATATTTTGCTTGTGGGAATGCAAAATGGTACAGCCACTTTATATAACTGTTTGTTTTTGTTTTTTAATAGAAATAAATGTACTTACCACATGACTCAGCAGTCCCATTCCTAGAGACTTGCCCAAGAGACATGAAAACATATCCACACAAAGACCTGTACATGAATGTTCCAGTAGCTTTATTTAATAATAGCCAAGAAGTGGTGAATGGGTAACCAATTGTGGTATATCCATATAATGGAAACTACTCAGCTATAGAAACTACTGATACACACATCCACATGGAAGAATCTCAAAAGCTTTGGTGAGTGATAGAAGCCAGTCCTAAAAGGCTACATACTGTAGGATTCCATTTATATGCCATTCTAGAGAAAGCAACAGAAACCAGATCAACGGTTGCCAGGGTGGCAGTGGGGCACAGGGAACTTCTGAGGGTGACAGAAATGTCCCATAATCCTAACCGTGGTGGTGGTTACGCTACTACATACATTTGTCTAAACAACAGAACTGAATATTTAAAAAGCAAATTTTATTGTATGTATATTATTCCTCAAACCTGATTAAAAAAAAAAGATTCAATGTATAGTGCCGTTGACCTTGGCTGCATCCATCCACCTCCGCTTCTTCCCAGTGGGGGAGGGGGCTCCCCAGGGCCTCTGGTTTCTCTGTTCCCTGGCCTCCCTGGGCTGAGCCCTGAGCAGCTCCAGGCCTTCCCCAGCAGAGAGAATGGACAAGACGCCCACCAAGGAGCAGGCCTGGGGTGAGCGCCAGCGGCAGTGCTGTGAGCCCTCCATCCCACCCCCTGATCAGGAGAGGTAGCTCAGGTTCTACGAGATTCTATTTGAGATTCGAGATTGGGGGCCAGTGCTGGATAAGAGCACACCCCAGCCCTGGGGAGTGCGGGGGCCCTGGATACTCGGAGCCGGTGGCTGCACAGACAGCAGCTGGCCCTTCCTGTCCCCCTCCTGGGTCACCTCCCCCATGCCTTCACAGGCATTCATGAAGGGGGGGGCACCCATTTTCCCCAGGTGGCTGATCCTCACAAAGCTTCATGTGGTACCTCACTTTCTCTCTAGGATACTTGGGGAGTCAAGAGAGGACACTGCTGTTGGTTGATCACCTAAGTCTCTGTCTACCTTGTAGAAAATATTTAATTGAACCCTCATAACAACCACCTGGGGCGCACACTATTATTGGCCTCATTTTACAGATGTGGAAACTGAAGCTGAGGGAAGGAACAAAGTTGAAGTTTAAACCTGTGTGAGGGGGCGCCTGGGTCACTCAGTTGGTTGAGCATCTGCCTTCCGCTCAGGTCATGATCCCAGGATCCTGGGATCGAGCCCCACATCGGGCTCCCTGCTCAGCAGGGAGTCTGCTTCTCACTCTGCTGGTGCTCTCTCTCTCTCTCAAATAAATAAATAAAATCTTAAAAATTAATTAATTAATTAATTAGAAAACAATAAACCTGTGTGAGCCTGACATCAAAGATGAAGTTTCTGAATACCCCACTGCTTGATGCCATCTCCTAGTTTTGGCTTTCTTTCTGCAGCCCTTCCCGCAAACTCCTCTCCCCCTTCACCCCGAACCCCACACCTTTGCTTCTTAGTCCTCTGCCCACGTCCTCACAAATGCAGTCCGTTCCCTGCACACAGACGTCCTTCCGCTCTCTGAATCATGGCTGGCTGTGACGCCAAAGTCCTGCTCTGGCATCGGGAGAGTGGGCCTGACTGAATTCAGGCCCAACAGGGCTGACTCACATCTGGGAAGGAAAACCCCAGCGTCAGACAAGGCAAATGAGCAGCGGCCAAGCAGCCAGGCGAGGCCGCCCCTTGGAAGGGCAGCCCGCACCCTCCCAAGGGACCAGAGCAGTGGCCCCCCGCTGGAACCTGTTGCCAGTGAGCACAGACACCTGGATTCCTGGCCGCACTCTCCCGGGGGATGGCAGCCGTTCAGCCAGCACAAACCTGGGGAGCAGCTGGTGGGGGGGAGCATCCCTGCTTCAGGGAGGTGGCTCGCGTTCCCTGCGCTGCCCGCCGGGAAGGAGGCCTGAGGAAGGCACCCCTGCTCAGGTGCCCCAGCCGGCCAACAAGCAAGAGGAGCCCTCCTGCCCCCGCTCCGGGCAGCCTTCAAGGCCTGGCCAGACCCCCACACTGGTCACCTCTCCCCCTGCAGCTGCCCTGGCACTTCTGGCTGCCGGTGCTTTGGGCGTCTGGGCCGGCTTGGATGTGGGGGCCTCAGACACAGTCCCTCATCCACCTTCAGGATCAGTGTGTGGACCCTACGTAGACGTCCCGTGGAACCGATCGCCGCTGCCAGCTGTGGGGCAGGTGGCAGGTGAGGAGTCTGGGGGGGGGGGGGGAAGGCAAGGAGGACGGAGCCCCAGGGAACAGCCAGAGAGCCTGGCGAAGGGGGCAGCGGGAAGTAAGTGCGCGTGAGGAGAGCCCAGGACGGCATCTGCGGCGGACTCACAGGGAGGCCGCCTATAGAGCGAGAACGTGGGCGCCGGAGGCATTTACAAGGTCCGGGGCTGCCGAGCTGCCCTCTTGTGTGGCCAAGCGCACGGACTCCGAGCTTCCTGCCTGACCTGCGAGGACCGCCCGGCCCCTTCCCGAGGCGGCCGCCGGAGCCCCTGGCAAGACAGCCGCTGGCGCCCCACTTGCCCCAGGCTGCACTCCAAACTCCATTATCTCCTCCTCCCCTCCCTCTCACCCTCTCCTCTGCTTCCCCGTTCTGGGTCTCCTGTGCCTCCCCTCCCTCCCCTCCTCAGGGCCCTTCCTCTATTCCCGGGTCCTGCCTGCCCTGGGACCTCCAGCTGAAGCTCCACCTCACCCAGGCAGCCTTCCCTGGCCACCCCAGCTTGTGTGACGTCCCTTCGTCCCTTCGCCCTGCTCCTCTTGCCTTCTCCGGCAGCTGCGGGCCTGTCCTACGGAACACAAGCTGCCCCAGTCAATTTAAGGGAACTTAAGGGTTAAGAGGGGGTTTCCTAGGAGGGCAGGGGACCCTCATGAGCCCAGAGCCAGGATGTGCCCACCCTGGAGGGTAGGGGCCTGCCCTGCTGCTCCCTCCCACTCCTGAGTGTCCAAGGTCTCCTGTCTCAGCCTCTCTCCTGCGTCTGTGTCTTCCTCCTCCTCAGTTTCCTCTGCTTTGGGCCCAAACATGGATGCCCGGGCTCTGGGCTTCAGAATCTCCCCAGTCCAGCGCTCACAGTGGAACGAGGGCTCTGAGGCCCTACTCCTGCGGGCTGGGGTGGAGAACTGGATTGACCCCTGGGTCAGGCGACTTTCCTGGGCAGGCCTGGAGGCCAGTGGGACAGGGTCACATGACCCCTGAAGGAGCTCCGGCTTTGAGGGGTGTGGTCAAGCCCTCACAGCAGGTACAGGAACGTGAGATGCCTAATAAATGTCGACAGACTTAAGGACTGGCGCCAAGGCTTCAAGCTGGACCTTGTACTTCTGTCCTTCTCTTCCCCAGCGTCCCAGCCAGGGACTGACAGCAGCCTTTCCAGAACCAGGTTTGTTTTTCTCACTTGTTTGCAAAGGTGGCCAAGAGGTGCCAGGAAGACCTGAGTCGATGCCAGGCCGGCCACTTCGCAGCTTGGTGAATTTGGGCAGCTAATAAGAGATTTCTGAGGGTCCTCATCTGCAAAGTAGAGATTATGGGAGTAGCCACGTGCCCTTGTGCGGGCAGCTACAGGAGCTACTGGAGCCGAGGGTCGAGCTGAGTGGCCAGCGCTCATGTGGCAGGGACCCTGAGAGGGGTATCTTTTCATCATGAAAATTGGAAATCGGGACATTGCGTCCCTGTGTAATTGACAGTGTTACTGCCACATAAAATAGGTGCATCTTATAATTAATGGCATCCTAGGTTTGGTGAAATATGGAATCATTACCAGTTGAGCTGATCTGGGGAAAACTGCAATATCTCTGGGTAAAAATGTCCCCATCTGCCACATAGACACAATGTCCCTCCTTCAGCCAACCACCTGTGAGGCCAAAATGAGACCTCATCTGTAGACAGTTTGACAGTCGCCCATCCCTCCCCGCCCTCCCTCTTGGATGGCACCAACTGGGGGACAAAGGTGGGCTTTGGGCAAACAGGGCCATCCAGAGCTGGGAGGCTCTTTGTTTATCTGTGGAGGGGGAGGCCTCAGCACTGAGGGCCAAGCAAATATTTGAGGTTATGGATTAACTCACGCCCGGTTCAGGCTGTCATGGCAGTGGGACGGCGACCCTGCAGTTTCTCCCTGGCCCACCCCAGTAAGTCCCCTTCATGGCAGGTCTGTGACGGGGGATGGAGGAGGGATGAGCAGATGTGAAGGTCGAATCCTCCAGCCAGGGTTCCAGAGGCTGGCTAGAGCTTGGGCTAATGGGATATCAGGGCTCTGCCACGGGCCAGGCCAGGACGTCGGCTGGCATTCCTCAGGCCTGGGTGCCACAGTCCCCAGGGGCCTTTTTCCCAGACTTGGAGGCAAGTGGAAGTGGTCTGAGGGCCGCCAGGGCCAAGGGACATCGTCAGGGGCAGCTTGGAGCCCAGGACTCCCCATTCTCCCCACCTCACCCCCACCTCTAAACCTAGGGTGTCTGATTTAAACAAATGTCAGAAACTCCGGGGGAGTCAGTGAAGACAGAAAGTGATGTCAGATGGAGCGGGGGAGGTTGCAGGTGGGGCAGGCAGGCCTAGCCCTCGGGCTTGGAGGCAGTGGAGGGCTCCCTCCTCCGTTTACAGCCAGCAGGGTTACTTCTGGGGCTTTGTGGGGCACCCGGTAGTTTGGGGCAGGGGTTAAGATTCCAAGCCTGGAGTCACATAGGCCTGGGCTCGGGTCCTAGCTCTGTCACGTCCTGGTTGTGTGTTTTCAATAAGCTATTTCCCTCCTCCAAGCTTCAATGTGACCACCCTCTATAAAATGGGGTGATGACATTAATACCTCCCTCGTGGGCGTTATGAGTTTTAACTGAGATAATAAAAGCTAATATTTCCTGAGCATTTGCTGTATACAAACCCCGTCTTAAGAGCATTATGTGGGTTAACTCATTTAATTCTCACAATAACCCTATAAGGCAGAAACACAGTTTTTCTAACCAGGAAACTGAGGCATGGAACAGTTAGGTATCTTGCCCAGTGTTGCTGTCCCAGAGCTGGGATTTGCACCAAGTGGTCTGACTTTGGTGTCTTGCCTTCTGAACCATGTATAAATTGCTTGAAAAACGCCATGAATGTCAGATAAATGTTAGGTATGCCTCTCAGCCTGGCCATTAGATCAGCAAAGGCACCACCCCCTGACCCTCAAAGAACAGGGCAAGAGAGGACACCTGCCATGGCCCTTTTGTGCTGAGTCCCCTTTGATCTTCCCCAGGACTCCGTGCCCTTTCCACTTTTTCTCTTCAGCCCTCCGATGCTGGGCAGCTGCTGTGATCCTAGCCCCACACAGGCAAGGACACTGAGGCACCAGCGGCTGTCCGTCTAGTGAACAGGGACCACCAGCCCCAGCCCCAGCCCTTGCAGTCAGCTCCCATCTGGCACCGGGGCGGCAGGCAGAGCAGGGGCCAGTGGGGCTGTTGGAAGCTCAGAAGTCCTCCTCAGACAGGTGGCAGCAACTCCAGAATGTGGCAGCTCGCAAGCCTCTTACTGTTGGTGACCATCTGGGGAACTTCCGGCACACCAGTTCCTCCTGGTAAGGCCACTGTCCCCCTTCCCTGGGGCCCTCGGGGTCCTCACGAGACCCTCTCTGGCGCCGCATGAGGCCCCCACCCCGTGCAGCATCTCTTCTGAGCCTCAGTGTGAAACGAGAGGCACCGTGGGGAGGAACTGCCTGACAGTCCCCTGTTGGAATCCAGCAGCTGCCCCCGCTGGGCAGGGGCCGGTGGGGGGGGGGTTACTGTGATGACAGAGTACTGTGGTGACCTCAAGGAGCCCCCGGGGTGGGGGCATGTCCTGAAGCTCCTTCCTCCAGTCTGGGAGTGCCCCACACAGTCCCCTGGGCCTTTCCCCTCCACCCACCCAGTCCCGTAAGTGCCAAAGCTGGGCCTGGCCAGCACCCACGCCACCGCAGGGCAGCCTATCCTCCAAGGCTCGAGTGCAGGGACTGCCCCGCTCCACCCCTCCCTTGCCGCCTCCCCCCCCCCCCCAACAGGAGGAAGCCAGGGTGCCTGGGAGGTCTGAGGGGGAATGAGCTGCCAGTACCTTCTAGCAGGCCCCGCCCCGAGGCTCCTGGAAGCGCACGGCTGCTGCTATAGCATTTAAGCCCCTTCCTGAGCTTCTTGATCTTTGAGACAGGGCTGCCGTCCTCCTGGTTTGCCCGCCAGATGGGAAGGCAGGGGAAATGCTCCACTCGGGGGAGGCCAGGGAGGGGAGCGGAGGGAGGCGGGACAGCGGCAAGATAGGGTTGTACAGGGGGACTCGAGAGCAACGAGACAGAGTGAACCTTGCAGGCCTGGTAATAACCCCAACATCCAGCCAACACGCGTCCCTGGGTGCTCATTCCTAGGTCAGACACTGCGCGGCTTGGCACCATTATCTCATCCTCAGGGTTGCGCGAAGAAACTGAAGTTTAGAGAGGCAAAGGCACTGGCTCAAGGTCACACAGAGGTCAGGCTGGGTCCAAAGGGAGGGCTGTCTGTCCAGCGCATGTACTCTGAATGGCCAAGTCTCCTGTCTTCCAAGGCTGGCCATCTGCTGTGTGTGGAGGAAGAGAGCAGAGGAGCAGGGGAGCTTTAAGGCCTGAGGGCCCAAGACAAAAATATCTCCTGGGACTAACCACAGAGTGGCCCCCACCCCAGACCCCTCCCCCCAATGAGCTTCCCCTCCCCCCAATGAGCTTCCCCTCCCCCCCAACCAGACTCAGTGTTCTCCAGCAGCAAGAGGGCCCACCAGGTTCTGCGGATCCACAAGCGTGCCAACTCCTTCCTAGAGGAGATCCGGGCAGGCAGCCTGGAGCGGGAGTGCATAGAGGAGATCTGTGACTTCGAGGAGGCCCAGGAGATTTTCCAAAATGTGGATGACACAGTAAGGCCATCTGGCTGGGTGCAGAGGACAAGCCTCAGGGGCAGGCTGGTGGCCAGCAGGGGTCTGGAGGAGCAAGCTGGGGCCCCACTGCTGAGGCCCTCTTAGGAGTCCGGGGAGGCAGTGGGCACCAGCCCCTTCTCCATCCAGCTCGCTCGGGGGGGCCGGGGTGTGCGAGTGGAATGAAGAGGACGCTGGCCCTACGGTCTTGGTCAGGGCACATGTGACTGCAAGGAACAGAACTCTGCAATTAGCTCCAGGAATAGGGAGTTTGGGGAAGCTGGGATTCCCAACAACCCCACTGGAGGAAGTTCAGAACGTCCTCTGCCCACAACTGGCCACTGCTGTGTCCCCCTGTTCTCTGTGACCAAAATGCCACCCTCTCTGCTTCCAGCCAAGCACCTGCTGGTCAGGGGCTGTGTGACCCAAGACTCCCTGATGTCTATATACACTCCCTCTGTGCCTCAGTTCAAATTCTCGAGAGGCAAAATTTGATTGCTCAGGGAATCAGAGGGAAGAGTTCATGTCCTCTCTGGCTCCCAGGGCCCCGTGGTGGCAGCGCTGAGGTGGAAGGATGGACTGGGAAAGGAGGTGGCTATCCCATACAAGGCTCGGACCCACTCCATCCCCAAGGGCTTACTTGAGCTACTAGGACCATAATTTGTGCTGTTACCTGGGGTCCCCTTCTAAGCTGTCTATAGGGATGCCCTTCCTTCCAAGGCTAAGGGGGGAATTCTGGTCTGCCTTTTCAGCGGCTACCTCCTTGCCTAGATCCCCACTGCCTCTTTTCCCAAATGCGCTCCTCAACAGATGCCCAAAGGACTTTCTGCAGCCACAATCTGAGCACCTTACCCTAAGTTCTCCCAGGCCCAGCAGGGCAGAGCCACTGCTAAAGGGACCATCAGGCTGGATGGTCCCAGACCAGCAGCAGCAGCAGGGCCTCAGCTGGACAAGCAGACCTTCTAAATCAGCAATCAACTTCTAACCAACAAGGTCTCCACTTTGAGAACATGGCTCAGGGAAAGATCACATCCATGAGAGGTCCAGAGAAGCCTAAAGGAGTGATGGAGGCTGGAAGGAGGCAGAGCAGCTGGGTGGGAGATTTGGGTCCCTTCCAGTGTAAAGGCTGTTGTGGTCACAGACCGTCCAGAGAGCAAGCTTCCAGCCGCATTGCGGGGTGGGGGGTGGGGGTGCCTGGGATGTGGGGTGGAGATGGGCAGCAGGGGCAAGGAGGACTGTAGGCCTGCTCAGAGTGCAGTTGCCCCAGCGGCTGGCAACAAGCAGGGGTAGACCCCTCTTTGTCCAGAAGCCCTTCCCTCCCCTGCCCCACGTGGGCCAGACTCAGGAGGCGCCCCTGGGCTCCCCAATACTTATACATGGGAGGATGGCCTCTGACCCTGTCCCTTTTCTCCACAGCTGACCTACTGGTCCAAGTACGTCGGTGAGTGCGCTCTAGATTCCGGGCTGCGGTGCCCCTAACACCCTCGGGTTCTTTGGGCCGCTGCAGGGACGGGGAGGGGGCTGGCGGCACCAGTGACGCCCCTCCTCCCATGTTGCAGACGGGGACCAGTGCGCGGCCCTACCCCCGGAGCACCCGTGCGACAGCCCGTGCTGCGGGCACGGCACGTGCATCGACGGCATCAGCGCCTTCCGCTGCTACTGCGGCCGGGGCTGGGAGGGTCGCTTCTGCCGGCACGGTGAGAGGGCCGGCCGCGGAGGGGGGCAGGGGGCGGGCCGGGGGCCCGGGGGCGGGGCGGGCCGGGGGCCGGGACGCGCCGCGCCACCGTGCGCTCCCCGCGCCTCGTCCCCGGTCCGCCCAGAGGTGAGCTACTTCAACTGCTCGGTGGACAACGGCGGCTGCGCGCACCACTGCCTGGAGGGGGAGGGCCGGCGCCGCTGCAGCTGCGCGCCGGGCTACAGGCTGGGGGACGACCACCTGCAGTGCGAGCCCACAGGTGAGCCCCCTCCCCGCCCATCCCAGGGGTGGGGGCGGCACCGGGAGGCTCCCAGAGAGGGGGCGAGGAGGCGGGCCGCCACGTAGCTCATCTCCCAAACTCTGAGCGGGTGTAGGGGGCCAGGCCTCCAGCATCTTCCTCCATCTACCTTGGATGGCTTTATTTTCTGAAGACACCGTGTCCAGCCTGGCATCCCATTTCCTCTTTTACCTCTGGCTTCTGTGAGGAGAGACAGGAACCATGAGTCTGCCTTCTCCTTCTTATACCTTTTAATTTTTATCAACTTTGTATATGTCCTAGGAAGTGAGAATTTTACAACTCTTATCATGAATTTCAGCAGGTTGCTCCTCAGTGTGGGTCTTTTCTTATTCGTTGTACAAGGCCCTTGATGGACCCTTTTCATGTGGAAATTCGTATCTACTGCCTCAGGCACGTTTCCTTAGTTATTTCTTTGATATCCTCCCCCTGCTGTCTCTATTCTCGCCTCCTGGACCTCCTGTTACTCAGATCTCTTTCCTCGGGACTGCCCCTCTAGGTTTATTATCACTTCTGTTTTCCATCGCTTTGACTTTGTGTTCGTCTTTCAGGGAACCTTCCACAATGTTATATTCCAACCCTTTTCCTGGGAAGAAATGTCTAACTTTTTATTTTGAAATAGAGATTCACAGGAACTTACAAGGAAATGACTGTGGACCAGCTGGCCTGGGGGCTTTCCTGAGAGGCCCTTGGAAAGCCCAGGTCACTGGCAGAACCCCTACTGCCCAGCTCCTCAGGTCTCAAGGTCGTGTCCTGAGAGGAATCCTCCAGGCTCATGTTAGAGTGGGCACAGCCTGCCTTCCAGCCCCCTGGAGCAGAGTAGGGAAGAGGAGCTGGCGTCTGCCCAGTCTGCAGATACCTGTGTGACTCCCTCTGGTCAGCCTTGCATGTGGCTGGAGCCCCAGATCACAGTCTCTGGTTCACCCTGTGCAGAGAAGACACCTGTGGTCTTTTGCAGGGCTGAGAGAGGAGAGTCAAGCCACTGGGTGCCAGGGACAGAGGTCTAGGGCTCTAGCAGTTTCGCTTCCAAACTCAACATTCCTGTTTGTAGTCCCAACCTACACTGTGTCCTTCAGAAGCACTGAGGCTTCTGGGGGGTTCTGTAACAAAAGAATCCCCTATTACTGGCTGAGGTTTTCACTTTCTCAGTCAGCCAAGTCAGTTACCATGTCCAGCTTCTGGAGTTTTGTTGCTGTTGTCTGCCTCTATTCTCTGCCGCTATGCAATTCCCCTGCTGATGGTTGCCCACTGCTCCTACAACAAGTCTAAAGCTCTCAACCTCGCATGCATGGTCCATCATGAGCAGATGCTGGAAGCCCTCCCAGCCCTCAGCTCTCTGTCCTGTGCTCTCTCCTCTTGGCAGAGGACCTCACGACCATGCTCAGAGCTACTTTGGGGGCCCTCCAGGAATGCCCACCACTTCCTCCCCATAATTTCTTACCTGTGTTAAGAGCTTGGTGGCATCCCAGCATGAGACTTTACTTATGTACCTCAGGGATTACTCCCAGCAGCCCTGGGTATACTGAACTCTGAGAAGTTTAATCTGTCCAAGGACACACAGATAGGTAGTGATGCTGCTTGGTGTGGCTCTTACCATTAGGTGGCACTGTTTGTTGACTGACTCACTAACCCAAGGGGATTGGCAGGTTACTGGAATTGGGTGCCTCAGCATCTCCTATCCCTTTACCCCTACAATGGAGCAAACTAGCCTGCAGGCAGGAAGTAGACAAAGATTGGAGGGCAGTCTTGGGGAGTAGTGCCTGGCAGGAACTCACTTGCTTCCCCCTATCTTCAGTGAAGTTCCCTTGCGGGAAGCCAGGGAAGCGACTGGAGAAGAAGCGCAAGCACTTGAAACGTGACACAAACCAAACTGACCAAGTAGATCCAAGGCTCGTCAATGGGAAGGAGACCAAATGGGGAGAGAGCCCCTGGCAGGTGAGAGGAGAAGCAGCTGTTCAGCAGTTGGGTCAGGAATCACTGAGCCCCTGCAGGGAGTTCCTGGTCAGGATGCACAGATGGAGAGAGGAAATGCTGCCTTCACTTGGGGTAGGGGGCTGTGCTAATGGTGAAGCAGTTTCAGGGAAAGATGGGGGTACCTGACAGGAGAGTAGTGGTCAGGATGGGGCAGATGTGCAGGAAGGTGAGTCATAGTTTTAACAAAGAGCTGGAAAGATACTGCGCTGCTGGTGGCATTTTAGGCAGAGGCCTTGCCAGTGGGAGAGGTGTTTTGCTTGGGAGAGAGCTGGGAGGGAGGGTTGACCCTGAGGTACCTCTCCAGACTCACCATGGGAACTAACACTTTTATTTGGTCCCAGGTACTGGGTGGTGGTGGTGGGGGGGTACGGAAATCAATAAGCAGGGGATTGGCAGGCCTTGGGGAGCTCATAGATCCTGGGAGGGTCAGGCCCCTAAACAAGCCGCTCAGTGGGACCAAAGCCAGGATGGCCAGTGGGATAGGGGCTTATGGAACCCTGAGGGGGATACTCAATGCAGCCTGCAGGCTTCAAAGGCTTCTCAGAGGACTTGAGTCCCAGCCTGAGCCCCAAGGGTGAGCAGAACTCTCTGGGTGCTGCTAAGGATGACTATAGCAATGGCAGGGCAAAGGCAAGGAGATGCCCTCCAACCGTCCAACTCTGTAAGACACACAAAAGTAGAAAGTGCCAGCCAAGGACTGTAAGTCCACACCTGTGTGACCAGGGAACCTAGGAAAGACCTAGCTACGCAGCCAGTGCCTCGGGCTTGAGAACCATGCTGGGGCTGTGCCGAGAGCCGCAGGCCCTGACTTGGAGTTGTCAGAGGTAGGCTTGTGATGTCACTGCCCACTCCCATTCCAGGTGATCCTGCTGGACTCAAAGAAGAAGCTGGCCTGCGGGGCAGTGCTCATCCACACCTCCTGGGTGCTGACAGCGGCCCACTGCATGGAGGACTCAAAGAAGCTCACCGTCAGGCTTGGTGCGGGCTGGAGCAGGCAGGAGGGGGCCGCCAGAGGCCTCCGGGAGGGGTGGCACCAGACAGGCTAGCCAGGTTTGGGGACCCTCGTCTTTGGGGTGCTTGCGCAAGAGGCTGCTTAAGGTCCCATGGAGGGTGTCTGGGGAGAAGAGGCCTATGTGCTCCCTCCAGCCACTCTTAGGGTGAAATTTTAGACACAGTGGCACCTGGTGTTTGGCAGGTAGGGGATTCTCTTCACATCTGGTGCCCAGGCGCTTACAGACATGTGTTTGCAAAGTGAGGGGGTCCCACTCACATAGCCGGCTGTGTGTGTGGACCTCCAGCACCCTTGGTGAGGAGACTCACAAGGCTTCTTTCTACATGGCCTGGCCTCAGGGCCATGCTTTGCACAGACTGACGAGAACAGAGCTGAGCGGTCCAGGGCCACAAACCTGGGCCCCACTCTACCAAGTTCTGGAGGGGGCTCTCCCCACTGTGTAGGCAGAAAAGAAGGAGAAGATGTATTGAGAATGACCAAATTCATATTCCCTACGATTACCTCCAGCACGGGCAATGGCCAGTGGCCTCCCGTGGCACTCGGTTTAGGATTTCCAACTCCCCCACCCCCACCCCCACCACTGCCCCTGTCCCTGCAGCAGCCATCAGCCTTGCTGGAGAGGATCTTGTCTCCTGTGTGTGATCCAGATCTTCCCTGGCAGAGCCTGTGGGTCCTCCCTGGGTCTTGCTGCTCTTGCCCTGACCCCATCGTGGCTTGTCACTACCTTGCTCTCGGGCCAGCACTGCTAGATGAGAGTTGTGTCTCTCCACTGCAGTTGCTCCACGTTCCCTTTGGGGCTCTGGTGTGTGTCCTGGGCTTCCCTGCTGACTGTCCACTGCTGCTTACTTGCCAGGCCTCGCTGCTCCGTCTGGGAGTGAGTACCGAATTCCAACCAGCATTCGGCCCCCTTAGGCCTGACACCACAGCCGTTACCACTGGCAGGGATCTGAGGCACAGACTTATGGCACTCGTGACAGTGCCTAGGAGACACAGCGACCACTCCTGGTGTGGACCCACTGGCTGCCCCAAAACACTCTAACTGCTCCTCTGCCCCACAGGGGAGTATGACCTGCGGCGCTGGGAGAAGTGGGAGATGGATGTGGACATCAAGGAGATCCTCGTGCACCCCAACTACAGCAAAAGCACCACGGACAATGACATCGCGCTGCTCCGCCTGGCCCAGCCCGCTATCCTCTCACAGACCATTGTGCCCATCTGCCTCCCAGACAGTGGCCTTGCAGAGCGTGAACTCACCCAGGTGGGCCAGGAGACCGTGGTGACCGGCTGGGGCTATCGCAGTGAGACCAAAAGAAACCGTACCTTCGTCCTCAACTTCATCAATATCCCTGTCGCCCCGCACAACGAGTGCATCCAGGCCATGCACAACATGATCTCTGAGAACATGCTGTGCGCGGGCATCCTTGGGGACTCACGGGATGCCTGTGAGGGTGACAGTGGGGGGCCTATGGTTGTATCCTTCCGTGGCACCTGGTTCCTGGTGGGCCTGGTGAGCTGGGGTGAGGGCTGCGGGCGCCTCCACAATTACGGCATATACACTAAAGTCAGCCGCTACCTTGACTGGATCCATGGCCACATTAGAGCTGAGGAGGCCTCCCCCGAGAACTAGGTACCTTAGCATCCCTCAGGCTTGTGTCCGAACCCCAGAGGCCACTCGTGGAATGGGGGCTGGATTGCTGAATGGCAATATTTGAGACATTAAAGGGGACATGTAACATGCACACCAGCTACAGTTCTGTCTGTCTTTGTGTCCCTTTTCTGCGCTGTTCTGGAGGGAAGTAACGTTTGTGGAGCATCTACTGCATTTCTCACACTTTATGAACACAATCTTATTTAACTTCCGAAACAACTCTGTGGGGTGGGGAAGAGTAGGTCCAAGTTCGGTGAAGTCTGAGGCCGATAACATTTGGAGGGGCCTCTCTATATGAAAAAGAATAAAAAATGTGCCTATAAAACTGTGAGAGCTCCTCCCAGGGTCTTGGAAGGAGCCTACACGAAACAGAGATATGGAGGCCAGAGCTTTACGGCAAACCCAACAATGAAGGGAGAGGTTTTGAGCTCATATTACAGAGGAGGAAACTGAAGTTCAGGAGTGTTTACATGGTAGAACCAGAATTCCAAGTCTAGGTCTGACTCCCAAACCGCTGTGCCCCTGTCTGTTCTTGGAGGGCAGCTGTGTTGAGCACCTGCTGGGTATAGAGGCCATTATCAGTCCAGTGGAGGAAGTAGCCAGAGACCAAGAAGGTGTTGGTTCAGCTCAGCATGAGCTCACAGTGTAGTTGGGGAAGCTGTTTAAGGACAATGTCACACAATCGTGAACAGCAGTAAGCAAGAAGTTCTGTCTTGACCCAGCCTTCTAGGCATAACTGGATGAGACAGAGAAAGAAGTAAGGATATACCTGATAAAAAGGGATAGAGGTGAGACAAGCTGAGACAATTAGCTGAAAGTCATACAAGTCATCTAACTCTGTGTGGCCTTGGCCAAGTCATTCTCTTCTCTGGGCATCAGTAAAATAAAGGGATTAAATGAAAGCAGTGGTTCTCAATCCTATCTATACATTTGAACCCCCTGGGGAACTTTCACAAACATCTACCTCCAGTTGCACCCTCAGAGACTCTGGTTTAACTGTTTTAGAGTAGGGGACCCAGACATTGGTATTTTAAAAACTCCCTAGGTCATTTAAAAGTGTGACTTGGGTTAAAAGCCACTAGACCAGATGGTCTTTAAGGGCCATTTCTGCTTGGATAGGTGCTAGTTCCAAGCGTCAGGACCAATGAGAATGAAGACCAGCAATCTCAGAAAGGATAGCACAAGTGAGTTAATAGTGAAGGAGGCCCTGACTTGGGATTATACCCAGCTTGTCAGAACCACAGCTGCTAATTACAGACCAGAGAGCTACCAGGACCCATGGAGTTATCTATGTGCAACCACAAGAGAAGAGGTGTGCCTGAGAAGGAGCCTGCCAAATTCATCTCCTAACAGACCCAGGAAAAGAATAGATGGGACAGCTAGGAACTGGGAGGAAGTCAGGTCCAGGGTTGGAACCACCTCCCCATTAGTGCATTGGGCCAGAGTCCCTGACACTTGCAGTGGGACATAATGGATTGAGAGAGTGACAGCATGCTGGATGTCTTTGCACCAGGTGAGCTTCCTGTAAAGACAGTTAACTAGCATGGGTGAGAAAACTCTGGTATGACAGCATGAGGAGATCTACTGACCTGCTCCCTAGTGAAACTAGTGAAAATTATAAAAACAAATATTTAAAGTCTCTGGGAATGGTTCTAAAGGCAAACAAAACAAGAACAAAGATACATCTTTTAAACACACACAAGAAAACTTGATCTGTCCAACAGAAAACAAAGAAGGAGAATAAAAATAAATAAGGAGCCCACATATATACATTTCATTCCTATATAACAATGAACATGTGCAAATCAAAATTAAAAACACAATACCACTTCCAACCACCCTAAAGAAAATGAAGTACTTAGATATAAATTAAACACACAACTATGGCCATCTGATTTTTTACAAAGCTGCAAAAGCAATTCAATGGAGGAAGGAGAGATTTTCAACCCATAAAGCTGGTACCGTTGGGCATCTGTAGGCCAAAAAATGAAACCCAATCTAAGTCTCACACCTTATACAAAAAGTAAATCAAAATGGACATAAACTACAAAATGAGACAAGAAGAAAGTATAGTTAATGGAAACTATGGAATAAGATGGAAATAATAATAAATATAATTAGGTTAAACTTACCAATTAAAAGAGAGAAGTCACATGGACCAGATGGACTTAACAGATATATTCAGAACATTTCATCCTAAAGCAGCAGAATAAACATTCTTTTCAAGTGCACACGGAACATTCTCCAGAATAGATCACATACTGGGTCACAAATCAGCCTTCAACAATACAAAAAGATTGAGATCATACCATGCATATTTTCAACCACAGCATTTTGAAACTTGAAGTCAACCACAAGAAAAATTTGGAAAGACTGCAAATACACGGAGGTTAAAGAAAATCCTACTAAAGAATGAATGGGTAGGCCACCTGGGTGGCTCAGTCATTAGGTGTCTACCTTCGGCTCAGGTCATGATCCCAGGGTCCTGGGATTGAGTCCCACATCGGGCTCCCTGCTCCATGGGAAGCCTGCTTCTCCCTCTCCCACTCCCCTGCTTGTGTTCCCTCTTTCACTGTGTCTCTCTCTGTCAAATAATCAACCAGCAAATTAAAGAAGAAATTTTTTAAAAATGTATTGAAGCAGATGAAAATGAAAATATGACAGTCCAAAACCTTTAGGATGCAGCAAGGACGGTCCTAAGAAGGAAGTATATTGTAATATAGGCCTAACTCAAGAAGCAAGAAAAGTCTCAAATATACAACCTATACACCTAAAAGAGCTGGAAAAGGAACAGCAAATAAAGCCTAAAGCCAGCAGAAGAGGGGAAATAATTAAGATTAGAGCAGAAATAAATGATATATAAACAAACAAACAAAACCAGAACAGATCAACAAAACCAGGAGTTGGTTCTTTGAAAGAATTAATAAAATTGATAAACCCCTAGCCAGACTTATAAAAAAGAAAAGAGAAGGGACCCAAATAAATAAAATCACAAATCAAAGAGATAGATCACAACCAACACCACAAAAATACAAACAGTTACAAGAGAATATTATGAAAAATTACAGCCAATAAACCTAGCAATCTGGAAGAAATGGACAAATTCTTAGAAACATACAAACTACCAAATCTGAAACAGGAAGATATAGAACATTTGAACAGACCCAAAGCCAGCAAAGAAATTGAATCAGTAATCAAAAAACTCCCAAAAAAACAAAAGTCCAGGGCCAGATGGCTTCCCAGGGGAATTCCACCAAACATTCAAAGAATTACTACCTACTCTTCTTGAACTGTTCTAAAAAAAAGAAGAAGAAAGAAAGAAATGGACGGAAAACTTCCAATCTCCTTCTACAAGGCCAGCATTACCTTGATTCCAAAATCAGACAAAGACCCCACTGAAAAGGAGAACTACAGCCCAATGTTCCTGATGAACATGGGTGCAAAAATTCTCAACAGGATACTAGCAAATCAAATCCAACAGTACATTAAAAGAATTATTCACCACGATCAAGTGGGACTTATTCCTGGCTGCAGGTGTGGTTCAATATTCACAAATCAATCAATGTGATATACCACATTACTAAAAGAAAGGATAAGAACTATATGATCCTCTCAATAGATGCAGAAACATCATTTGACAATATACAGTAGCCATTCTTGATAAAAACCTTCAAAAAAGTAGGGATAGATGGAACATACCTCAACATCATACAGGCCATATATGAAAGACCCACAACTATTATCATCCTCAATGGGGAAAAGCTGAGGGCCACTTTCACCATTACTTTTTAACACAGTACTGGAAGTCTTAGCCTCAGCAGACAACAAAAAGAAACAAAAGGTATCCAAGTCAACAAGGAAGAAGTCTAACTTCCACTATTTACAGACAACATGTTACTCCATGTAGAAACCCAACAAACTCCACCAAAAAGTTGCTATAACTAATAAATGAATTCAGCAAATTCACAGGATATAAAACCAATGCACAGAAGTCTGTTGCATTTGTATTCACTAATAATGAAGCAGCAGAAAGAGAAATCAAGGAATCGGTCCCATTTACCATTACACCAAGAACCAGAAGATACCTAGGAATAAACTTAACCAAAGATGTAAAATATCTGAACTCTGAAAACTAGAGAACACTTATGAAAGAAATTGAAGAGGGCACAAAGAAATGGAAAAGCACATGGATTGGAAGAAAAAACATTGTTAAAATGTCTATACTCCCCAAAGCAATCTACACATTTAGTGCAATCCCTGTCAAAATACTACCAACATTTTTCACAGAGCTAGAACACATAATCCTAAAATTTGTATGGAACCAAAAGACCCTGAATAGCCAAAGCAATTCTGAAAAGAAAAGCAAAGCTGGAGGCATCACAATTCTGGATTTAAAGCTTTATTACAAAACTGTAGTTATCAAGACGGTATGGTACTGGCACAAAAACAGACACATAGATCAAGGAAACAGAATAGAAAACCCAGAAATGGACCCACAACTACATGGTCAACTAATATTGGACAAAGCAGGAAAGAATATTCAATGGAAAAAAGACAGTCTCTTCCACAAATGGTGTTGGGAAAACTGGTCAGCAACATGCAGAAGAATGAAACTGGACCACTTTATTACACCATATACAAAAATAAATTCAAAATGAATGAAGGACCTAAATATGAGATAGGAAGCCATCAAAATCCTAGAGGAGAACACAGGCAACAATCTCTTTGACCTCAGCCATAGCAGCTTCTTACTAGACATGTCACTGGAGGCAAGGGAAACAAAAGCAAAAATGAACTATTGGGACTTCATCAAGATAAAAAGCTTCTGTACAGTGAAGGAAACAATCAACTAAACTAAACTGTACAGTGAAGGAAACAATCAACCAACTATACTGGGCCTATGGGAGAAGATATTTGCAAATGACATATCTGATAAAAGGTTAGTAGCCAAAATCTATAAAGAATTTATCAAACTCAACTCCCCAAAAAACAAATAATCCAGTTTAAAAATGGGCAGAAGACATGAATAGACATTTTTCCAAAGAAGACATAGAAATGGTCAACAGACACATGAAAAAATGCTCATTATCAC